GTGCTGGGATTACAGGCTTGAGCCACCGCCGCAGCCAACCAGAGTTTTTAACACATCTCCCTCAAGCAATTTGAAATACAATAGACAGAAATTTGTACGTATATAGATTTATCACAATGAACAAGTAGACACAATGAGCACAAGTAAAACAGCCCACAGACTCTACAGTGTTTTCAAGAACTCACTAAACATTTCTAAACATTGACCACACACAGGGATATAAAGTAAGTTATGGCAAAAATCAAAGATTGAAATCAACAGAGCACACTTTCTGGACACAATGCAATTAGGACAGAAATTAGTAATAAACAGAGAATGTAAAAACCTTCATGTTTGGAACCACACTTCCAAGGAATCCATGGAGCCAAGAAGAATTAAAATGGAAATTAGAACACATTTTTTAGCTGAACAATTATGAGATTGTGAGATACAGCTAAAGCAGCACTTAGAGGAAAACTTAGAGCCTTCAATAAATATATTAGAAAAGAAAGACGGTCGAAGTAAGTTCAAAAATTAATGAAATAGAAAACAAACATACATGGGAGAGGAGTAAATGCTTTTTGGAGAACCTTGAACAAGTTAAAACCTGGTTGTTTGGAAAACTAAATAGTGACTAACCTCTGGTGAGACTGGTTGAGACAAAAAAAAGAAAGGCAAAAATAATCAATATCAGGAATAAAAGACCTGAAAATTATCATATCTTATATATAATAAAGTATCATGAGGATACTGTACATAATTTTATGCAAATATATTTAACAACTAAGGTGAAATTGATTACCAGACTATTTCTAGGGAAAATAATCCTAGAAAAATATGATTTACAAAAACCAACATGTACAAAAAATAGAAAACCTAGATCAACTGTCAAAAGGTAGAAGTACCTAAATGTCTATTAACAGATGAATGGATAGAGAAAGAAATGTAATATATACATACAATGGAATATTATTTAGCCAAAAATACAAGGAAATTCTGACATGCTACAACACAGATGAACCTTGAGGATATTATACTAAATGAAATAAGCCAGGTGTGAAAGAACAAATACTGTATGATTCCACTTATATGAGGTCTCTAAAGTAGTCAAATTCATATAAACAGACAATAGTAGAATGTTGGTTTGCCAGGGGCTGAGAGGAGGTTAAAACGCCTAGTTGTTTGATGGGTATAGAGCTGCAGTTTCACAAAATAAAAAGTTCTGGAACTCTGTTGCATAACAATGTGAATATACTTAACACTACTGACTGTACATTTAAAAATAATTTCGATGATACTTTTTTTTTTTTTTTTTGAGTTGGAGTCTCACTCTGTCGCCCAAACTGGAGTGCTGCGGCCGCTCCCGGCCACTGCAGCCTCGACCTGCTGGGCTCCGGCGATCCTTCCGCCTCAGCCTTCCGAGTAGCCGGGATTACAGGCATGTGCTACCAGGCCCGGCTGATTTTTTTATTTATTGTAGCAATGAGGTCTTGCCAAATTGCCCAGGCGGGTCCCGAACCCGCGGGCTCAGGCAATCCACTCACCTCAGCCTCCCAAAGGCACGGGATTACAGGCTGAGCCACCGAGCCCAGCTGATAAATTTTATGTTATGTGCTTTTTGTCACAATTCAAAAAAATAAAGAGTAATCAGTACAAACCACACCATTCAAAGAATAATGAATGCGACATACTGAAATATGTTAAAAATAATCATTGCTCCCCTTCAGAGGATGCTAGAGCACTAACTCATTATTTTCAATTTTGTTTTTTAAAGTGGGAAAAACGGTCACAGTCAAGACTCTAAGGAGACTTGACAACTAGAAGTAATGTGGTCTCCTGAATGGGATTCTGAAACAGACAAAGGACAGTTGGCAAAAGCTAAGGAAATCTGAATTAAGTGTGGGCTTGAGATAATAGTATCAATTTTGGTTTATTATTTGGGACAAGGGACTATATTAATGTAAGTTGTTAAGAATAGGGAGAAATGGATGTGGGGTACATGGGAACTCTGTACTATCTTCTCAATTTTTCTTTAAATCTAAAACGATTCTAAACTGTTTGAAAATAAGAACTTAGGCTGGGCTCGGTGGCTCAGCCTGTAATCCCGTGCTTTGGGAGTTCGAGGTGAGTGAATTGCCTGAGCCCATGGGTTTGAGACCCGCCTGGGCAACTTGGCAAGACCTCATCTGTACAATAAATCAAAAAGTCAGCCAGGCGTGGTAGCGCACGCCTGTAGTTCCAGCTACTTGGAAGGCTGAGGCGGAAGGATTGCCGGAGCCCAGCAGGTCGAGGCTGCGGTGGCCGGGAGTGGCCACTGCACTCCAGTCTGGGCGACAGAGTGAGACTCCAACTCAAAAAAACACAGTGGAGGGAGGCTCGGTGTGGTAGCTCACGCCCACAATCCCAAAACTTTGGGAGGCTGAAGCAGGAGGATTGCTTGAGCCCAGGAGTTCGTGACCAGCCTAGGCAACATAGCAAGACCTCATCTCTACTAAAAATAAAAAATTAGCCAGGTGTGGTGGTACATGCCTGTAGTCCCAGCTACTTGGGGTGTAGGGGGTGAGGTGGGTGGGGACTGAGGCAGAAGGATCACCTAAGCCCAGGAGTTCAAGGCATTGGTGAGCCATGATTGTGCCCCTGCACTCCAGCCTGGGTGACAGAGTGAGACTCCAGCTCAACAACAACAAGAACAACAACAAAAAGGTGGAGGGAATCAAGCAATATTCTGTATTTCATGGATTAAGTATATTCCTAGAACTGTTCAAGAATCAAGAGACTCAGACAAATCCACAATGTATGAACCTCATTTAGATTCTGACTATAATACCATAAGGGAAATGAATATTAGATATTAGACTGTATATTAGACAATATTTCATGAAGTATTGTGAATTTTTTCAGGTGTGATATGGTTTGAGGTTGTAATTTTTTTTTTTAAATAAAAGGAATCCTCATCTCTTGGGATGTCTGCTAAAGTATTTATGGATAAAATAACATGATGTCACTCATTTGCTCTTAAATAATCCCTGTGTGGGAGGGAGGGACCCAAGCAAACATGAATCAAGCCTAGTCATGAGTTGATGATGACACTCATTTTGTGTGTTTTGAATTCCATAATAAGACTTTTTTTTTTAGCTGGAGTCTCTCTCTCTTGCCCAGGCTGGAGTGCAGTGGCATGCTCACAGTCACCACAACCTCGACCTGCTGGGCTCAGGTGATCTTTCCACCTCAGTCTTCCAAGTAGCTGAAACTATAGGTGTGCGTGACCATACCCGGCTAATTTTTCTATATTTATTGTAGAGACAAGGTCTCACCAAGTTGCCCAGGTTGGTCTTGAAGCCCTGGGCTCAGGCAATCCTCTCGCCTTGGTCTCCCAAAAATGCTGGGACTATAGGCTTGAGCCACTGTGCCCAGCCTCCATAATAACACTTAAAAGGAAAGACATCTCTGCTTTGAGGCTTGAATTATTGTATTTTCCTAAAGGGAAGTTGAGGAGCCAAAGGAGTCAGCTGATCTGCTCAACTTCTTGGGCTGCTTAGAATATTTTGCTGCTTAAAAACAAAGTTTGAAAACCACTGACCCGGGGCCCTTTGCCCTTCTGAGGAGGAGTCGATGTCTCCTGGGGGGCCTGCCTGGGCCACAGAGCCCTGAACTTGGAGTTCTTTCTGCCACCAGCTGCCTGTCAGTGACACACCTCCTGGGCTCCTACCCAGACCTGTGGCTCTGTGGCTCTGTGGCAGGCGCCTCCTTTTCCCAAGCGCCTCTGATCTACCCTGTCGCCCCCTTCCAGATTCTTCTTTCTTAGTGTAGCAGGACCAAGAGGATTACTGCAGGGGTATGTGCAGATGTTTCCTCTCCCCTCCAGGCTTGCAAATTACCCCCTCCCACTGCATCCTTCCCTTCTCTAAGAAGGGAACAGCGACGGAGGGTGGGAGGGCATGGGGGTGGGGGATGAGTTGTGCAGGGCTGAGTGGACTGGGGGTGGTGAAACGAGGAGCCGTAGGGGGCCTCAGGACTTGAAGGGGTGGAGAGTCAGAGAAATCAGGAGAAGCAGCAGGAATGGGTTTCCTCTGCGTTCTTCAAAAGCTGCAACTCAGCACCACATCAATGAATACCTTCCAATGGCTCTCTTGCTGCAAAGTGTGATTCCTTAAATGACACTGCTGAGACTGGGCAACCCAGGGCCCCAGGAACCTAATACCTTGGGTTCCATTTGGGAATAGCTGTCCAAACTTGTAGACCCAGTTTGGGCTCCTCAGTTGCACCTCCAGTTACACTCCACCTTCTCAGACTAACCTTGCTAGGCCAAGCATATGCTTCTCAGGGCTCCAGTCTGCAGCAGTCTGATTCTCGGGGGTTTTGGAAGAACACGGGGAGCCCAGCAGACATCACGGAGGTGAACTGACCTGATGCTTTCAGGACCAGACGGGGCAGGGGAGAAGTGAGAGTGTGCACTGCCCTGAGATGTGGACTTGCCTTCGGTGAGGTCAATATAAGGTAGACACCAGTGCAGGGGCTAGCGGCTTAATGGTTTTGTCTACCCTCAAAGGTTGGGCATGGTTTGTGGGTCTAATGGTGTTGAACATGTGAACACCACTTCTACCTACTCTGGATTTCTGTTTCCTTGAGGCTGGGTCACATGAGTCCCCAAGATTTGTTTGAATAACAGCAAAGGAGCTGATATCACATCCTGGCACAACTCTGTTCACAGGCTGCTCACAGCAGACAGCCAGTCACCAAGGGCTGTCCTGGGAGGACTGTCACCAAGACCAAGTCCTGAATAGGCAGCAGGGAGCTTCTGAGCAAAGGGAGGGAGAATGGCATGCAGGACCAGAGCGTGAACTTTGGATTCTGACACTTGACCTTGGGCACTTGGCCTTGGGCAAGTGACTTTGCCCCTCTGGGCCTCCGTTTATCTGTCTGTAAAGGAAGAGTCATAACACCCATCCTGCAGGGTCATTGTGAGGCCTACTCACTCTGAGTCCCCCAGGCCCCTGCAGTCTCCCTCCTGCCCGCCTTACCTCCATCTGCCCGTTCTCTGCTGCATCATGGAGGGGGGTCCCACCCCAGGAGTCTCTCAGGATGGGGGCGCCCATCAGTAGGAGTCGGTCTAGGATGGGCATGTGGCCGCCTCGGGCTGCAAAGTGGAGGGCCGTGGCACCCTCGTTATCCCGCGCTGTCAGGCCAATGTCAGTGAACGTGACCTGGGGATGGGGGAGCAGAAGGAGAAGAACACAGAGTGAAGGGGACTCAGCACAGAAGTGGGGGTTGACCTCTGGTTGTGTCTTTTCGGGAAGCCCTGGGGCAGAGCTGGCCCCCCACACCTGTCCCCGGAACCCTGGGGCAACACGATGTCCAGGGCCTGGGTGGGGATGAAATGAGTGCAGTGGTTTTATTTGGAGACTCCATAGTCCTGAATCTTAAACCAAACGTCACATCAAATGAAAAAGCACTACACCTGACAGTAGATGTTTGCTATGACGGAAGGAGGGAAGGAAAGAAGGAGGGGGCAGAGAAGGAAGGGACATCAGTCAGCACCAGGACAGCACTGCAATCCTGGGGCAGTGGTGCCCTGAACCCAGGCCAGCGCAGAGATTCTGCTGGAGCAGGGGTTCTGCCACCTCCCTTCAGAGCCTGGGTTCAAGCCAGGTGATATGGTTTGGGGCCCCGTCCTGCCGGCCACCACTCAAGTGACTTGAAGTCAGTCCCTCCTCTCTGGCCTCATCTGCCCCTCTGCGAGGTCCTGAGGTCCTGGTCCCCAGCACCAGCCATGAGCCTCTCAGGGCCCTGCCCCTACGGGCTGCCTCGCAGCTGGGACAGCAATGTGGCCCGGTCCTGCCGGAGAGATGCGGGGGTTCTTCTAGAGAAACCTGACTTTCTACTGGAAGGGGTGATGGATGTGGTATCTCCCCTTCTTCTCCCTCCTCCCTGTCTTGAATGTGGCCAATGTTCCCACAACGGGAAAGCTATGAGAACAGCAGAGGTGACAACAGCCTTTGCCACCTTCCTTGTGGGAGAGGCAGCCCCCTAGTTGTTTAGTCCACTTGTCACCTGCAGCCCAAAGCATTTCTGACTGGTCTAGTACTCAGATGTGTTTGCTAGGAAAGGACAGTGAGCCGGGGATAGAGACAGAGACAGGGCGCCCCTCCACCTGGATTGGGCACACCAGGCTGCCAGCTGCAGTCCACACACCTGGATGGCCCTTCCGGCCTAGGGACCTAGTCTCAGCAGCTTCTTCACCAGGACAGGGTGCTCATGCCTCAGCACAGTCAGAGGGGCCCACTGGAGACCCTGCCCCATGGCCCCCCCAGGAACTCCCTGCTCTGAGCTGCTGCTGTTTTTCCCCCGGTTCAGCCCACTGACTTCCCCAGTGGCCGAGAGCTCAGGCATGGGGGACAGGAACATTTGGGGAGACCAAGGTCTGGAGTGAACAGGCCAGAACAGCAGGGGAGGGGAGGGGAGGACGGCCACGGTAGGGGCCCATGTCCAGAGAGCTTCCTCTGGGAGGAGCTGCCCCAGCATCCCAGAAGGAGGGGTTGGAAAAGGCAGCTCAGGTGAGGCTGTGAGTGCCAAAAAGGGAGGCTGGAGAGAGGTGCAGGCCCATCCTGAGGGGTCAGGACTCCTTGTTCGTTCCTTTGTGTGTCTACTTGTTCAGGAAATGTCCCCAGAACCTGACTACGTGCCAAGCATGGAAATACAGTGGATGGATACAGTCCTGCCCTCATGGAGCCTCTGGAACTTACATTTCAAGGGATGGAAATAGACAACCACCAAGATAAGGAAGTCACACAGGCAGTATGTCAGGTGCTGATGCCAGGGAGGAAAAGAGGGCAGGAGAGCAGGATGGTGCTGGTAGGTGGCTGCCATCATGAATGGGATGGGCAGGGAAGGCCCCAAGGGCACCTGGGGATATTCGTGCCAGACATAGCACATGCAAAGGCCCTGTGACGTGAATGAGCCTGGCCTGCTAGAGGAAGAGCTGCAGCTGAGGGGTGGGGAAGAGCTGGGAGAGAGGAGGCCCCATGGTGAGTGTAGGAGGTGAGGGTAGGGACGGCTCTCCCTTCTCCACCATCAGCCAGAGTGGCCTTGTGAAATGCCAGTCAGATCCAGCCGCTCCTGGCTCAGAGCCTTCCATGGCTCCCCAGTATCCTCAAAAGAGCCCCAGTCCTCCCAGGGCCTCCGTTTGCCTTTCTCGCCCACCCCCCAGGCTCCATGGACAAGGCTCTCCTTGTCTTTGAATGAGGATCTTGCTTTGGGCCACACCCCTTGTCCAGCCACTTCCTGTCCATCTTCAGTTCTGCCCCCAAGTCACTTCCTCCTGGAGGCTGTCCCCAACTCTTAAACTCCATAGTTTCTCTGTGATGGTCTCTCAGAGCCCCTGGAAACTCGCCTGCTCTGGTTGTCTGTTATGGAGACAAGAAGTACCCAGCCAACCTTTAAGAGGATACCTCCCCACCTGGCCACTCTGTGCCCCGGGGTCTCAGGGCTTCCCTCCAAAAAGAGGCTCGAAGGACCCTCCAGGGGCCCAGAGGGGAGGAAGGGTGGGGATGGTCCAGGGTTCTGAGGCAGCAGGGCTTGACCTAATGGTCAAGTGGCCCAGCCTGGGCAGTGCCATGCAGATACTGGTGACAGAGCACGTGGGTGCCACCAACCCTGAGAGTGCTCTGGAGACCCACCAGGTCTCACAGGGAGGGAGGAGCCAGGGAGCCTCAGGAAAGGACAACACATTCCCACCACCAGAGCAGAGGGGCCGTGCAGTCATCAAGGCTATGGGGCCGCCAGGCCGGGCGCACAGGGGCTGGGTGCCACATGCCAGTACATCTGACGCCCCAATAGCCCTGTGTATGCCTAGTTCCCTGCTGGAGCCCCCACCCAGGGTCCAGGCCCTGGACGTCCCCCCTCAACCCCAGCGCCTCCTTACCAGCCACACGACGAGCGAGTAGTGGCCACGGGCGGCAGCCGCGTGCAGCGCGCTCATGCCGTCGAGGGCGCGCAGGTGCACGTCGGCGCCGCAGTCCTTCACCAGGAACTGCGCCAGGTGCAGGTGGCCCTCCTGGCAGGCCAGGTAGAGCGGGGAGGCGCCGCTGTGCGTCCGCCGGTTCACGCCACTGCAAGGGAGGGAGCATTCAGAGGGCGCTTGGCCAGGGGGTGGGGGCGGTGGAAGCTCCAGCCCCATCGAGGGGGAAGGGAGGCCCGGGCACCCGGCGCGCCTGTTCGTAGGCACCTACCCCCACCACAGAATCGCACAGGTTGTGCCCTGCCCAAGGGAAGGTGGAGGCATTGCCTGCCGGAATCTAGCTCTGCTCACTCCCTACCAAGTTGAGGCTCATCGGCAGGGGGCGCGTTTTACGGTGGGCGGCGCGGGGGCCTGTGAACCTTGACTGGCCTCAGGGCTCAGCTCCGTAAGAGGGGCTGTCGGAGTTGGACTGGAGCCATGGACGCCTAGGGCGGCACCCGAATTCCAGTCCCCAGCGGGCTGGACCCACGCGCCATTTCGGGATTGCCCGTATCCCGCTCAGCAATCCCGCTCTGCCTTCGGTGGCTACTGGGCCCAGGTGAGCCCTTAGTCCCCAGTGACCTGCGGCAGAGAGGGCCACTCTCCTGCCCAAGCCTGTCTCATCCCCTGCCTACACAGACTTCACACCGACCCCTGCTGCCTGCCTATTACGGACCGAGTTTCCCAAACGCCTTCCAGTGGCTGCTGTGGGGTCCCCGGCGCCTGGCTGGGGCTCCCCAGAAGGCCATGCACACTGCTCTCCTTTTCTTGGACTCCTGGGTTAAGGTTAAAAACATCAATCTTTTTAGACCTGAAAGGGTCACAGTCTTGGTGTCTGGATTCTTAGTCGTCCCAGTGGAGACACAGAATTGAACCCAGCTCCTACAAGGGTTTCCCTCTGCCCCTGAGCCCTGTGGCCAGTGGCACTGAGCTGCTGCCTCTGAGCAGCCCTGCTTGGCAATAGGTGGCCTGAGACATGCTGAGGGCCACACTCGCTGCGGGTGGAGTCGCAGTGGATGCGTGGCGGGCAGGGCGAGGGTCTCTTGGTGGGTGGTTCAGCTCTCCAGGCTCAGGTGTGCTTGTCCTCTGAGGCTGCTGACCACGCTGGGGCCCTGGAGCTGGGGAGCCTCTTGGTTAGTAACAAATGGCGTGCACTCATGAGCACCCTCACAACTCGCCACTTCTGATAGTGAATCCGAGCAATTCCAGGATCCACCCCAGGAAGCACCTCGACTGCTCAGTCACAGGCTGAGAGTGAAATAATTGCCCAAGGGCCTGCACCTGGGTTTGAACCCCTTCCCCCCTAAAAGTCCCTGCCAGGATCAGCCCCTGCTCTCCTCTGCTCCTAGCAAGGGGGACAGAGGACCTTGGCAGGTGGCCCCTGGCCTTGGAACCATATGCACCTACTCTGCCCACACAGGGGCTTGAGCCCAGCCCTGGACCCTCAGGGCCCAAGGGTTCACTCCCTCATGAAATGTGCCCCAAAAGGCTGCATGTGTGCCCTGGTGCCCTTCTCAGGGAGGGTCCATGCTTTTGCCAGAGTCTGCCAGAGGTCCTTGATGGGAACCAGGGATTGAGTGGGCAGGTGTCTAGTCCAGTGGCCGGGAGCAGGCAGTGATGCAGCCAGTGTGTCTGGGCCCAAGAAGCATGCCTGCTGTGTCCAGGGTCAGCCACTTCTCAGCTCCTGTGGTCAGTGCCGGGTGGGAATCTGGGCCAGTGCCACTGGACCTTCCCACATGTGTGTGTGTCTACATTTTAAATCAGGAAAACTTCTGTAAAAGCTGTGTGGGTTCGAGAGACACTCTGTGACCAACCAGGCCTGGGGGACGGTGTGGATGCTCTGGAGAAGAGCCACAAAAGCAAATCCCGGGGTCTTTGCTGAGAGGTCCAGTGTGGGAGCACCCAGGAGTAAGAACACTATTCCACACACAAGTGGTCAGGGCTTGTCCTGAGACAAATGGGGGCTGGTGGGGGGTGAGACAGCCAGACATGCAGATGGTATGTTTACTCAAAAAGAACTGCGGTTAGGGGCAGGAGGGTCCCTGGGGGAATGAAGGTCCACTTTCAGTCAGGACAGCAGGAGGCGAAGGGCTCCTTACTGTGACAACAATGACCCTTTATGCAAGGCAAGGACCAGGGGAGTATCCGGATGGGGGAGGGAAGTTCTGCTGCCATCTGCCTTACCCAGCCTGTCCCCATCCCTGGCCCTTCCTCCTCGCCCGTCTACCAGCTCCGGTGGGTGGCACAGGGCCTCCAAGAGGACGAGACCAGCCTCCAGCTCAAGGCGTCCCCATGCAGGGATGGGACAGTGTGAAGGCAAATCCAGCCCAACCAGACTGGGGGCCTCGATGCTCCCGAGTCCACTAAAACCCCTGCTCCTGTCAGGTGACATGACAGTGTCCACACACGTCACTGGCTGTCACTCTTCCCAGCTGTTTTAGGCCCTGAGATGCCCCCAGGTGGGACAGGAGCTGCCCTGGGAATCACAGCAATGTCCCAGCTGTCCTCATGCCACTCTTCACATGACTGAAACACTGAGCCCGTGCCCAGACCTTGCCCTGAGTTTCGCAGCCCACAATGCTCCTGTCCACCCTCTGGTTCCAGACTCGGTTCCAGGGGCACAGTGTGCCGGCCCACAGTGCCCGCCTCAAAGGCCACCAGCCCGTTTCCCCCTCCTCCCCCACTCTGTGCAGCCTCCCCCGCAGGTAGCTTGCCCCAGGCGGGCTCTGGGCTCCTTACCTGCTGTGCGCAGCTGTCAGGAGCTTCAGGCAGGTCAGGTCCCCGCTGACAGCGGCATGGTGCAGCGGCAAGGCCCCCTCCCGCGTCTCCAGTGTGGCCGAGTGGCCCTCGTGGAGCAGCCACTCCACCAGCACCGGGTGTCCGAAGCGGGCAGCCAGGTGTAGTGGGGAGACGCCTGAGGCATCTTGGTCCTACAAGGCCCAGGCAGGGCAGTGAGCTGGGGGCAGGCCCTGACCCACCCCTGTGGGCACCCCCAGCCAGAGCCAGCTGCCCAAGGCTGGGCCCGTGTGAGGATCCTGAGCTAACCGCCACCTGACCTGGGGCCCTCCAGTTCCTCCCTCCCTCCATTCACCTCCCCGCCTCCACAACATGGAGGGAGACCACCCCGCTGGGACTGAGTGAGGTCACCTGCTCCAGGTAAAAGGCAGGGCCAGGACTCAAGTCCAGGTCGTGGGAGTCCATATCCTGCGGCACCATCCCAGGCCCCTGTCCCAAGTGCAGAGACAGCTCCTTCCTGCTAAGCCAGGCCCACAGCCCCTGCCCAGCCAGGCCCACAGCCCCTGCCCACTCTACTCAGGGTCAAAAAGGTTTTCATATGCCCAAAGGGGCCTGTGACTGGTGTCTCAGGACAGCTGCTTCTGGGCCTCTGCCCTCCCCTGCCCCAGACCCTTCTGCCAGGCACAGGGCCTTGAGGCCAGAAAGCATTCCCACTGAGAGGTTGATGTCTGGCAAACCTGGGCCAACTCTGAGGGCCTCACAGTCAGAACAAATCCAGACATGGGCACAGTGCTCGCCTGCTGCCCTCGGGGTTATCTGAAGAGCTGACCAGAGCAGGTTGCTGAGGCCAGGGAATGTTCAGGTGCTCTGACAGCCGGATGCTGGGAATCTCCCCTCTCCCAGATCCCAGCAGGTCCCTCTGGCCCCCACCCCAACTCTGACCTCGGGGTGGCATTCTAAGGCCCGTCATACTTGCTTCCTGTCCTCCCCAGAGCTCCACAGGGTTAATCAACAGCTCTAGATCCCTGCACAAAGGGGCCTAGACAGGCAGGAAGGGGACAGGGTTGGGCCCTGGTAGAAATACCCTGGACAAGATGGTCACTGAGACATGAGACCCTTGTTCTCACCACCAACGACTCTCACTCACTGCCCCAGACCTGGAGCCCCAGGTCCTGAGCCCGAGTTCCCACAGTGCCTCTTTGCTAGTTCTACACCCGTTGGGAAGCAGGCCTGATCAGAGACAGGGGTCCTGAACACTGGCAAGATCCCCACTGGCAGTGCCCAGTGCTCCTGGGGGCGTGGAGTGGGAAGAAAGAGCATAAGTGTTTATCTGTGCCCAGCACAGGGGTGGGATGATAACAGGACCATTTAGGAGGTGGCTTTGGCTCTCAAGGGCTTTGTGTTTTGGGGGAGGATATGGGGAGGGGTGTGGGGGCAGAGACAGACACCACTGACTTGGGAGAAAAAGAATGCTCAGGGCTGTGGAGCCTGGGGAGGCCAGGGCTCCAGAGCTCCTGGGCTCACACTGCCCTCACTCCACCCCAGTCCAAACCCCAGCTGTCCCCGACCCTGCTCACCTGCAGACCACAGCCCCCATCGCGGATGAGCCAGCGCAGCTCAGCCAGGCTGCCTGTGGCGGCAGCATCGTGCACTGGCGTGGCCCCGTTGTGGGCCCGCTGGTTGCTGGGCAGCTTGGCCCGCTGCACCAGGAACTTGACGCAGTCCAGGTGGCCAGCCCGGGTGGCATGGTGTACCAGGCCGGCCCCCAGGGCATCAGTGATGCCCGGGCCCAGGGCACCAGCCTCCAGCAGCCGCTCCAAGGTGGCCACATCCCCGTCCTTGGCAGCCACGAGCGCCCGCTGCTCCTCCATCCTCTGCCCCCGGCTCTCGGTGGCTCGTGCACAGGCCTGGGCTTCCTGTTTCAGGCGTGGACGAAGCTGCCGGCTCTGGTTACCCGATAAGCAGCCACAGGGCAGATGGGAGGCAGCAACGAGGTGGGGGGGCAGGCCTTGGGGACTGGCCCTCGAAAGCCTGTCCAAGCCACTCCCACAGCTCGAAGGCCAGGTGCCTGGAGCTGGGGGGAGGGCACAGCAGAGGGCATAGGGCTCTGGGAAAGGCCTGCACTGGGTTAGGCCGGGGTGGGCCCCAGCCAGCAGAGGAAGGAGCTGCCTGGTGGCCGGAGCCTGCCTCTTCCTCCCAGTGCCTACCTCTCAGCTGCAGAGCGAGGGGTGAGGATGTGCCATCATGTTTCTTGCAGCAACCTTGGGTGGCCTGGGACTATTTCTCTAGTTCTCACAGAAGGACAGACCTACCCATGGTGTGTCTGAAATAACAGGTGCCCAGTTAGGTCTAACTGGTTTGGCCACATCCTCACCCAGAGAGATGAGGGCCCCACCCTCTGGGGAATGGATGCCTGGATCCTGGCCCTCAGCCCTGGAAGCTCCCATAAGCCTTTGGGGGAGTGAGTGGCTCTGCAGGCCTGCAGCGTGCCCAGGGCCCTGACGTGGAGTGTATCCTAGAATGCTGAAAGGCCTCTGAGAAGAGGATGAAGGGCTCAGCATCCCCCTCAGCCACCCTCCAGCTACAGTGACGGGCTACAGCCAAAAGGGCCAAAGTGCAATTTTTAGAGCCGCCAAGCATCTCTTTCCAGATTGTTCTCTTCAATGGTCTGGACACTCCACAGGTCTTTGCTAGGGAACTCAGGACCACCACAGCCTTGTCCTGGCAGCAGCAGGAAGCTGTGGATCACAGACCTGTTTTCTAGGGGCTCCCAGAGATACAATTCCAAGATGAATTTCTTAGGCTAGCACAGAACCACACAATGATAAATTGGGATGGCTGCACACCCCACCACCTCCACTGGCTGAGACTTGAGCACTGAGCAGGGCACCTGCAGTACCTGCTAGAGAAGCCACAAGATGTCCAAGCCAAGCACTGAAATCTTTTATTAGTTCATTTAGTTTCTGGCAAGTGTTTCCTCAATATCATCATGTAGTTCTTTGAACTTTAAAACTACACATTCAAAATGTTATTCCACTGAAAACGATTCCTATGTAAATATCAACATGTGATGTGTATCAGAATGTCACAAGGCATTTGTGAAGAGAAAAGAATCCTTTGTAAATAAAGTTAAGACAAAAGCTGACTTAGGGATGATGTGATTTCCCACCTCAGGGATGACCGAGTCACATAAGCACCAGCTGCCCAAGACTCAGGAACTAACTCGGAGATGAAACCCCAAGTAAATAATTCCAAGGGAAAAGACAAGAAGCCCTGGGTGGTAGTAGGAGCACGTAGTGACCTACAGCTCTGAGGAACTGCGGCCAGAACAGGTGCTCAGGGCTAGAGAAGCAGGAGGTGGGGACTACCACACAGAGTGGGACGGGCCACAGCCTAGCTGGGGTCACCATACTCTGAGGCCAGAGCACGGCTGGTCAAGGAGGCACTTGGGAAGAGCTTGAGATGGGCCTCGAGAGGATACACCTCTGTAGAAGTGTGCGTGGGAGGCCATGGTTGGGGGGGAAAAATCAAGTTTCCTATTTTTTTTGTTTCCTATTCTCATTACACAACTAGCTGACAATGAATGATAAATACTTGGATTTTATCATTAATTGTCAGATAAAAACACCACCTTCCAGGAAGGAGTGCTCATAACAGGTTCACCCAATTTCCAGAGGGGAGCGTGGATGCAGCCAAACCATTTCTACTTCAACGGTTGCCACGTGGCAGCAGTAGACAGGGGACGGTCCTATGTGAGTATTGATGTCCTGGGCCTTTATGTGCCACAGGGGTCTGTGCTCCAGGGGAGGAACCCTGGAGCACTGGAGCACACACACTTCCCTATGCTCAGATGCTCTGGAACAGAAGGAAGATTTGGAGAAGTTAAGACAGTCATCCTGGCACAGCCCTCAGGAAGGGATGGAAGGTGACACGCCCGGCCGCCCTGGGAAGGGCTTCCTATGAGTGGAGCGGCCAGGGTGATCCCCACGCTAGGCCCGGTCCTCCAGTCTGGCCACAGCCTCCTTCAGGTCCTGCACGATGAGGTCCACCTCAGCCCTGGTGGTGCTGCGGCCCACACTGAGCCGGAGTGCGTTCCTGGCCACGTCGAAGGGGATGCCGCAACTCAGCAGCACTGGGGATGGCCTGCAGAGGGCGGGGAGACCAAGTATTAGCTGGGACAGACCACGGGGACACCCACTTTGAACGTGGCCAATCCCCAAGCCAGATGTGTGGACCCAGTGCCCACCCGCTCGGCCTGGTACCCTCCTCCCCCCATTGAACTCCTCCTGCCAAAGACACCTCAAGCCCACTCACAGGTCAAGGTCCAAAGTCGCTCCATTCTCCCGCCTAGGGTTCTGTTGCACTTGGTACTCTAGGGGTGCACTGCTTGCCCCCCCCCACTAAACCCTTTCTCCCTGAGAGCACAGACACCTGTCTGGGTGGCCAGTAGTGCCCGGATTGGTGCTGAGACCTTGGATCCAGGGGCTTTCCTGTGGAGTCTGAGGTCTCGGAGGACCCATGCTGGCACAAATAGCACCAAGTGTCTCACCTCCATGGGGCCCACCCGATCTTGGTAGCCTCACGGCACCCAGCACAGTGCTCTGCCTACACTAGGGACCTGGCCAGTACTTATGCACAGGAGAGATGACTGCATGGGAGCTTCCCAGAGGCAGGACCACCAGAGACTTGCAGTGGTGGGCACTCTCTAGGCCCCACCCTCGCAGGCTCTTCACATACCATCGCAGTGCACAGGCTACAGGCAGCCGGTTCAAACCCATCCAAACCAACATCCTGGCATGCAGTGAGGCAAAAGGATGTCTTTCATTACCTCTAACCACTGGAAGCCACATCCTGTCCCAAGTGAGGCCAGGACCAGGGAGGGTGCAAACGTGACCACATCACTCTGTGCCTTTAGTTATATCACTCTGTGCCTCAGTTGACTCTCCCGTGGCTCCCTGGCCCCCCCCCCACAGCCAAGGAACTGGGCCTCTAGCCAGCGGTCTGTACCCCAAGCCTCCTAGGCAGCTGGGCTCTGCTCATAGGGGCCTTCAACTGACCCCCAGGACCCCAGGGATGCTTCTGTGGACTCCAGGTCAGTGCTGAGCCCCTCCCCCAGCACCTCAAGCCTTCCTCCATCCTCTCCCCACCCTCTGTGGGTGACTTCACTTGCTAGTCCAGGAGGGCACAGAAGCCACCTGAGGGGGACCTCCTACTTCCTGCCACAGGAGCCCTGAGATCATCTTCCCCCTTTTCCCCTCCTGCCCTCTCAGGGCCCCCATGGGCTCCTGTCCCTTCTGAGCTGTGGTGCCAGCCTCTCCCCTCCCCTTCTTCTCTGTGGCTCTTAGGGTCATAGGCCCTGTGTCTGACAGCTTGATCACTCTGTGCCTCAGTTTCCTTAACTGAGAAACCAGCTAGTCACAGACTCTCCCTCACAGGATGTGCTGAGCATTCTGTGAGTGATGTGACGGCCACCTCAGCACCCATCGGGGGCAGCCCCCAAGTGCCCCCCTCCCATTGCATGGCACATCCCTCCTCTTCACCAGGCCGGCCTTGACCTCACTGCTCCTGAAGATGACTCTGGCCACCACACCGTGGACTCCTCGGCCTCGCCTGCCCTCCCCAGTCGCTCCCGTGGCAGGGCCCTGACCCCCTGGGGAACCCTGTCCTCCCCAACCTTCTCACCCAGGGAGGGCTGCTGCTCGGGTGTCTACACCCATTGTCTCCACTGCCTCCACTTGGTCCAGGTCACCATCCCTGCTCACCTGGGTTCTGCTCTCCCATAATCCCTGCTGCACCTCGCATGGAGCTTATCTGAAACCTAAGTCTGCTCATGTCACGACCCTCAGTGGCTTCCATTTTCTTGAGGATGAAGTGAGCACTGACACGAGGCCATTGCCCCTCAGTCCCCCCACTTCCCACACGGCAGCTGCATCGTCCCCAGCTGCCCCTCCAGGGCCCCTGCTCACCCTGCCTTCAGGACTGGGCCTGAGAAGTCTCCCTTCTCCTGCAGAGGTGCTAGACCTCCTTTAAGTTGCAGCTTGGCTGTCACTCCTTCCAGGAAGCCTTCCCTCAGCCCCTCCTGAGGGCCCACGTAAGGCTTTCCTTTACCAGTAGAGTTAACAATTTCCATAGCTCTGTGATCCAGGCCCAGTGGCCTGATCCTGCCGCCTGCCCACCACACCTAGCACCTGAAGCACCCTGTGCCCTGGACTGGGTTTGCGAAGAGCACTTACCGGTCTCCATGGTCTGAGTGGCATGCAGCCCCTACACTGGCCATCAGTGTCCGGCACTGTGTGAGTACCAGGCGGCCTGTGGAGGTAGAGCACATGCCCCCTGAGACTGAGGGCTTCCAGGCTGGGCCCCTCTGGCCTGTCCTGTCCTGTACTATCCTTTCCATTCCTACTGAGCCTCAAGCCCGCTTTATCCCTCTCTGTGCCACCTGCTGGAATTCCAGCATGCACTTCCAGGGGCTGGTGAGAGGATTGGTAGCAGAAGCCACAGAAAACGTTCCCTCTCTTCCTTGGCTGCAGAAAGCAGACATGATTCTGCCTCATAAAACTGGCCTTGAAAATGGTATTTCTAACAACGGCTTTCTATGACACTGGAACTCGACTGACTGCCTTACTTAACAGTTTTTTACCCTGGCAATATTTATTTTTTTATTTTATTTTATTTTTTGAGTTGGAGTCTCACTCTGTCACCCAGACTGGAGTG